AAATACAAACAACAGTGTCGCTGCCTGTGGCTCCTGGCTAACCATCCGTACCGATGATGCCTCTGTCTGAGGGCCCTAAAGCTCTAAAAAGCAACAGGGTCGTTTCACACTCACAGAATAAACTCCAACTAACTTGATGCGCAAGTTTAAACCTTGACTGCAGAGATAGAGTTTAATAGGAGACTTAAAACCTGCCCTAAAACTGGCTCTTTGATACGCTGACTAATCATTAAGGAGCTCCAATAACAGTGGTAGAATTTTATGAGGTACATTTACTGAAGTAATGTACCTAGTTACAGTTGTAAGGTACTTCAAATACTTCTACTTAACAACATTTAGGAAGAAAATATTGTTATTTTCCCTCCTTTACATTTATTTGACCTCTTTAGTTACTTACAGTTTCAGATAATTAGCAAATACAGAATATAAATCAACTAGCAAATAGAAATTGACATATAATTATAGTTTAAAATGTCCAGCAGTAGTATATAAAGGCACTAACATTAGCTCAGACTAGCAGTGATGACCACATTAATTGATTCAGAAATGGGTCATTAGGCATTGTACTTTTGACAGAAAGTACTTTTGTACAGGAATGGGTCATAGGCATTGTACTTTTGACTTGTGGAACTTCAATATTTTTTGATGCCAATACTTTTTTACTTTTACTTAAAGGTGGAGTAGGTAATTTTGGAGAAACCAGCTCGAGTGCGCTAGAATTTGAAAATATACAACCAGAAAAAATCTGCCACTTCCTTACAGAGCCCCTCCTTCAACACACACAAACGCGCACATGACCAATGAGGGCACGAGATAAGTTTGTGCACAGATGGAAGGCTGACAGGCAGGACCATACCATTACAAACCATGTCTGTGAAGTTTTTTGCTTAAAATACCAAACAGATCCCCCATTGTAGCCATGCCTCATACTGCCCATACCTCTCTATTCCAGCCCTGTTAGAAAAACGCAGATTTTGGGTCCTTAGCTTGAAAAAAAAAAAAAGAGGAGGCGGAGCTAATGCCTGATCAGAATTCTACCGGAGATAAAGTTAAATTCTGCTGTGATAAAACG